CAGTCCCTGTCCCACTGTCTGCAGAAAAAGAGAGGGAGAAAGAAACAGACAGAGAAATGCCTGGCATGAGGAAGAGTGTCAGGGGAGCCCTTCCAGAGGTAGCAAACCTCCAAGACCAAACACTCAAATGTCAGGAGGGGTGTGCATTCCAGAACCATCCTAGGATGGGCACATCTGATGCACTCAATGCTAAGTACACATAAATACAGTTTATCTGGGATAACTGGGGGTTCTTTTTTGTTTTTTGTGGTGGTACTAGGATTTGAACTCAGGGCCTCAAACTTGTTAGGCAGGTGCTCTATACCTGCCACACCCCCAGTCTGCTGGGGATTTTTAAACTGCACACATATATTTGTGACGGTTAAAGTAAAAATTGAATTTAAAAATGAATTCTTGCTGGGCATCGGTGGCTCACACCTGTAATCCTAGTTACTCAGGAAGCAGAGAGCAGGAGGATCAGGGTTTGAAGCCAGCCCCAGCAAATAGTTCCCGAGACCCTATCTCAAAAAACCCTTCACAAAAATAGGGCTGGAGAAGTGGCTCAAGGTGAAGGCCCTGAGTTAAAGCCCCAATACCACAAAAAAAAAAAAAAAAAAAGAATTCCTAAGTCTCCAGTACAGAATTCCAAAGGAAGGAACCCTACAGTAGAAAAACCTGAAAGACCCTATCTCAGGTGATCAAGGCCAGTATCAACAGTGATGCGTCCTGCTGATAATGTGCACCCCTGACAGGATGTGACAATAATGGTACTCTACCTCAACCCAAAACCCAAACAGATAACTCCCAATAGAAAGTATCCTAAAAATACCTTCCTGGGACTCAAAATTACTCAATCTTCAGTACTGAAGGGAAAAAAATTGTCAAGGTCATTAAAAAGAATGAAAATCTGAAAAACTGCCACAGTCGGGAGGAGCCTAAGCAGACAAATCAACTGAATGTGAAATTGGGTCCTGGATGGGATTCTGGACAGAAAAGGGACACTAGGTAAAAACTAAAGAAATCAGAATAAAGTATGAACTTTTAAAATAATAACGTATCAATCTTGGTTCATTCATTTTAACAAAGGCACTATACTAGCCAGCACCAGCGGCTCATGCTTGTAATCCTAGTTACTTGGGAAGCTGAGATTGGGAGGATCAAGGTTCAAGGCCAGTCCAGGGAAACAGTTCGTGAGACCACCATCTCCAAAATAACCAAAGCAAAATGGACTTAAGTGGTAGAGCACCAGCTTTGTAAGATGTTCATAAGAAGAGAAACTGTATTGAGGCATACATGATCTCTGTGGTTTCTCAATTTTCCTATAAATCTAAAACTTTTTTTATAAAGAAAATCTATGGCTAGGGTTGTGATTCAGTGATAGACCACTTGCCCAGCAACTGTGAAGCCCTGGGTTTGATCCCCAAGCAAGGAAGGAAGGGAAGCAATAGAAGGAAGAGTGAGCCAAGAACTGGTGGCTCATACCTGTAATCCTAGCTGCCCAGGAGGCAGAGATCAGGAGGACTGAGGTACAAAACCAGCCTGGGCAAATAGTTTCAGAGATCCTATCTTGAAAAAACCCAACACAAAGCCAGGCTGGTGAGTGGCTCAATTGGTTAGAATGCTTGCCTAGCAACTATGAGGCCCTGAGTTCAAACCTGACTACAGCTATGGATTTTTCTCATTTTACAAATGTGGAAACTGAGTTGTTTAATAATAAATATTAATCAGTGAGTTGGCAGCTGTCCTGGAAGAGTTTACCCATGGTGTTGGGGCTTCCTCAGTAAGTGCCCTGCAGGTGTTATTGGCAACTGGCCAGGCTGAGCTCAGTTATGTGACCTGGTCACACCCCACCTCCTCCTCCTCCTCTTCTGACAATGATGTCTCCCCAAAAGTCGTCCTGCATTTTCCTTCACCTCCCACATCTAGCCTGCCACTAAGTCCAGTTTCCTTTCCAGGAAACATCTTCCCTGCCTACTCTTCAGGTCCTGGTTGAATCCTCACAGCTTCTCCTCTGCCTTAGGTCTCATCCCTTGCAAGGTGAGCCCCACCCAAGCCATCACCCATCTTTCTAGAACCCGAATTGAGATGATTTCATCAGCAGCCAAAACTCTGGTAGCCCAGGCAGTAGCATCCACAACCTGGAGGTGGCCTGCCCTACACCCCCACTCCCCTGCTCCTGAATGTCCAGCTTTCTCCTCTCAAACATCACACTGCCTTCAGTTGCTCTTGCTTCTCCTGAGGACTGCATCCTGTCTTCTCATTTGCCCTTGGAGACGTGCTTGAAGTCTTACCTCAAATTCAACTGCTTTTATACACAAAGCCTCTCTCTCACTGGCCCAGCAATCAGCCGTTACCTGTCTTATGGTGACTACCACTGAGGGTTGGAGGCCAGTGGATCCATATCTCTAGCTGTGAGGTCCCAAAGGCACCTCTGCAGCCCCATGCTCAAAAACGTCTGGATGATTCCCTTGCTACCAGCTGCTGGTATATCAAAACAAATGCCCACACTTCCTAATTAGGTGCCCCAAGTGGCTAGGATAAAAAAAAAAAAAAAAAAGGCCAGGGCATGCCTGGCAGCAGTGGCTCCTGCCTGTAATCCTGGCTACTCAGAGGCAGAGATCAGAGGATCAAGGTTCGAGGCCAGCCCAGGCAAATAGTTCTCGAGACCATATCTTGAAACTACCCAACACAAAAAAGGGCTGGTAAAGTGGCTTAAGTGGTAGAGTTCAAAACCCAGTACCACTTAAAAAAAAAAAAAAGCCAATGGAAGTTGTTCAGGGAGGCTTGGAGGAGAAGGAGAAGGAAGGAGGTTTGGGAGCGATATCGGATTAAAGCCACATTCCATTTATTGAGTACATGTCCTATCCGCACACTTATGCTACCGCAAGGCGTTTTCACATGGATCAACTTATTTGGTTCCCAACACAGACCTCCTATCTATTCTGAGGCCGAGAGCATCACCTGGCTGCCCAAGAGCAAGTGACGGTTAGGAGGGACATGAAGGCTGGTGTCTAGCTCCAACACCTCAGTCCAGCTGAAGGCCTGAAGAATGCGTGTGTGGAGCTGACCTGCTGTAACCTGCTCATTAGGGAGAATGTGGCACGCAGGGTCCACTGAGGCCCCGCCCCACGTATCCCAGAGAGCTTCAGAGCCCAGGAAGCTCACCAGTGACAGGGAGGAGGTGGCTGAGAACACTGTGCTGCTAAGACAACCCTCATAGCTATGCCAGCGTCCAACTGCTGATGGGCTCCACATAGTAGGGACATTCCCAAGGTCAGTCCAGACTGAGAGCAGGGTTGGAGTCTTAATCCTGGAGCAGAGCAGCTCCCTGCCTGGGACACTTTTCCCACAGTGGAACTCTCCTGCCTCCCCAGTTATGATTCATTCTTCCTCCAACTTGGGGCCTCCCCACGGAAAGTGATGTTGTAACTGCAGATTCAGGCAGAAGTGGGAGCCTTATACAGCAGGAAGTGACTTAGGCAGTATAACCTGCCATCTCTTCCAGGCCCAAATAGCCCTTGGTGGGGGCTGATGAGGGTTATCAGGAACAGTTATCTGCTCCTGGAGAGGAAGTCTGGCAAAGGCAGCATGGCCAAAGCTGGGCATGGTGGTACACACCTGTAATCCCAGCACTCAGAAGGCTGAGACAGGAGTATCCCAACTTCAAGACTAGCCTGAGCTACATGGAAAGGCCTTGTTTCAATCAAGCAAAAAAGTTACATGACCATGTAAAACACAGTGCTAAACCCGGACACCTTGGAGACCTGGTGCCCTTAGCTGTTAAGACTATCTGCACAAGTGTGGACAGCAGTAGCCTGGCTGGGAGGCTTCCAGAACATTCCACATTAGCAAGATAGAGTCCATGGGCCCGGGAAGGAGATAGACTCCATCTGGGTCACCTAGGCAGCTGGGAGAAAGAAACCCAAATGCAGTGGCACCTGAGCCCTCCTCTCTCTGCCTTCTCCACCTACCTTCACTTGTCCCTCATTCCTGTGGGTTTTGCAAGTATTTGTTCCTTGTTCCTCCAGGCTCCCACAGCACTGTGACCATGTGGAAGCAGAGACGTTGTCTTTTTTGTTCTCTGCCATGTCCCCAGAGCCTAGGAGAGTGCATAGCACAGAGTGTATGCATACTGGCTTGTGGAATGAGTGGCCTTATGCATGAATCCATCAGTCACTCTCCCGGTAGTAATGATCTACTTGCTGGTCCGTTACCCCTGCTGGCTTATGATCAACTTCTCCAGAGTGGGAAGGTGCCATACTTTTCTCTGTGATTGCAGAGACAAAGCAGCGCAAGGCCTTGCAGAGCGAGCGCTCAATCAGTACCATTCCACCGAGTGAGTGAATGGCAGCAGTCCGACACCCCTTAGCTGGGCTTCACCTTCCCTGGCTGTCCCTCGCCTTTCCCGACACATCTAGAAGCCATTGTAGGACAGGGCAGGTCATTACCTGGGACATGGCTTCCCGCTGGCTTGACTACCTCTGCCATTTTTTGCACTTTTTTTTTTTTTTTTTTTTTTTTTGCAGTCTTGGGATCAGTTCTTACACACGCTAGGCGTTGCGCTCTACTGCTGATCCACAACCCTAGCCCATCTGCCACTTTCTGGAAGAAAGGAGGCTGGGACCGCTCAGCCTGTGCTTGAGAAGGTAGACGGAGAGAACAGTCAGACCGAGGAAAAGGACCTTCGGGGGATCTGGAGTGAGCAGTTTAGAAAGGCGGAGCAGAAAACAAGAGCAACCGAAGTCTGGGCTTGAAAGCTGCCGACACGCTCCAGGGCTGGGGCTGGACTTTGCGGGTGGGCCAGGGAATTGGGTGAGAAAGACGAGACTGCCATCTACTGTCCATATCCGGAACTGCAGTAGAGTACCCGCCAGCCTGCTTGACCCCCAGCCCGGGAGAGCAAACGGGGCCATGCAGACCCCGCCCCCGCATCTTGGCCACGCCTCCCCCGAGGCTGCTAGGCGGTGCTCCGCTCAGGTTAACGCGCGACTCTGAGTACCCGGAAGTTACGTAATAGGCGTGCGTCACGGGGCGAGAGTCAGCTGAGCTGCCGGGGTGAGGTTGGGATCACCTGGGACCGGCTGAGGGGGTCCTGATATCTTTTGAGACGGGACTGGGGTGCAAAACTGCGCCAGATTCTAGGGGGAGGGTCCCAGGATCTTCTAGACCTTTAAGGCGAGAGCGAGAAGGCCCTCAGGATTTTAAAAAGGAGGCGGCGGCAGGTTCCCAGGATCTGTCAGAGGCTGGGGAGTCGCAGTTTACAATCCGGCGCGACGGGGATCTCTGGGGGGAGCCCTGTTGTGATTTCCCCGGGCCCGGACGAAGGGCCACCAGACCCAGTACCATGGCAACCATCCTGGATGAGTATGAGGACGCACTGTCCCGCTCGGCCGTCTTGCAGCCCGGCTGTCCCAGCGTGGGCATCCCCCACTCTGGTAAGGAAGAGGAGGGCTCCGCCACTCTTTTCGGCTCTGCCAGCACCTGCGGGGACGGAGTGGGAGGGCGGTCCGAGTTTGGGGTCACCTCCCGGACGTGCATTCCGGGTCTAAGCCTCTGACTCTCTCAAGCTCTCTCTTGGCCCTCAATTGCTGGAAAATCGAAGTTTGAAGGAGCCACAGGAGCAGCCACGTGATCTAGGCCCTGCTACTAGGGCCCTTCTGAAGAGGGAACTGGGGCTCAGATGAGGAAGTCATCTGGACTCTTGGGAGAACTGAGAATAGACTCCAGGCTTTCTCCTGATGCCTGATTTGTGCTTTCCCCACCAAGGCCCTTCTAGGGGTGGTAGGGAGGGAAGGAATGTTATAGGGAGAGGAGGGATGGTGCTGAAGGGAATTTTGTCACTGATCAAGGAAAGATGGAGATGAAGTAGTCTTGGCCTTAGCTAAAGCTGGGTGCAGCCTGAGTCTAGGGGAAATTGTAGAAATGCAGTTTCGCAGTACTGGATCATTTTGAGCAATTGGCTAGAGGGAAAGCAGAGGTAGTTAACAATACTGGGTGGATCGGTTCCTCAGAGCTCCCTCTGCTCGCAATCTGTATGGTCAGGACGAAGGGAACTACGTTAATGCAGCCGAGATTGGTGGATCAAAGACTGATGAGGGAGAATGCCCAAACCACCACCTACCAGCCTCACCACCCCCCACTACCATCGGAAGCAGGCACATCACTCTGTAACTCTCAGATCAGAGAAGCAACCCCTGACTGACTACTGTCAGGAGTGTAGGAGGAGCCCAAGACCCTTACTGTAAAGGTAACCAGCAAACTGGATGATATTGAACTCTGTTAACCAAGGTCTCCTGAGTAGGAGTATGCTGGGAAAGAGTCAAGAAGCACTGTTGTTTGTTGGCTTGTTTGTTTTGGTTTGGTTCGGGTGTTTTTCTCTCCTTGCCTTTCTTCTGTCTCTTCCTTAGCTAATCTTTGTTTCACTCATCACACACAGGGTATGTAAATGCCCAGCTGGAGAAGGAAGTGCCCATCTTCACGAAGCAACGCATTGATTTTACTCCTTCCGAACGCATCACCAGTCTTGTGGTCTCCTGCAATCAGCTGTGCATGAGCCTGGGCAAGGATACACTGCTCCGGTAAGCCAGGGCCCAGAGGATTGCAGAGTTGGGACTGGGTGAGTGTTCAGGGAAAGTTAACTGCAGTGAAGAGTGGATTTGGGATTTTCAGGAAAAAAACATCTTCCTCACCAAAGAGAACCAATGATACAGTAGTTAAGAATCAGATAGACCTGGATTTAGATCCCAGCTGGGCAGCTTACCAAGCTGTGGAATTGAGCAAATCACCTGACCTCTCTAATCATGGACCTTCATCTGTTAAAAGTAGTCTCAAGTCCCCAACTTGGTCACTAACTAGATCTAAAGTCCTAAAATATATCCACTAGCAATGGAAATAACCCTTGGCAAAGGTATCAGCAAAATTGTTTATCTGGAAAACCATCTGGGATAAAACAGAGTCCTCTGTCTTGCAAAAATGAATTGTAGATTGAATAGTTATTTAAATATAGACAACAGGGCTGAGGATATGATTAAGTAGTAGAACACTTGCCTGGTATACTTCAAGCCCTGGGTTTAATTCCTAGCATTGCAAAATAAACAACTACAATAAAAACAGTAAAAATAAACACCTACCAGATATGGTGGTACAAGCCTCTAATCCCAGCACTCATGAAGCTGAGACAGGAGACTCAAGAGTTTGAAGTGAGCTGGGTGCTGGTGGCTCATGCCTGCAATCCGAACTACTCAGGAGGCAGAGATCAGGAGGATTGTGGTTCAAAACCAGACCAGGCAAATAGTTCGAGAGACCCCATCACAAAAAAGGGCTGGCAGGGTAGCTCAAGGTGAAGGCCCTGAGTTCAAGCCCCAGTACCACAAAAAAAAAAAAAAAAAAAGTTTGAGGCCATCCTAGGTCTCTATCTAAAAAAAACCCTATCTAAAAAAATAGTTTGAATGGAAAGAACATTTAGTATATTTCTGTGTTCTTAGACTAAATGGAGACCTTCTTACTCAAACTAGAAAATCCAGAAGCCACAAGAAAAAAGACACGTAACTATGTAATGACTGCTGTTGTAATAACAACAAAAAGAAAAAGAAGAAAAAAACCCCAACTAGACATGGCAGCACAGGTCTGTAATTTCAGCACGAGGCTGAGGTTGGATAATGACAAGTTCAAATCTAGCCTGGGCCACCTAACAATACCCTATCTCAAAAAACAAAAACAAAACAAGCCCTTATAAATTAATAAGAAAGCAAGTGCTGGTGGCTCACACCTGTAGTCCTAGCTACTCAGGAGGAAGAAATCAGGAGGATTGTGGTTCGAAGCCAGCAGGGCAAATAGTTCTAGAGACCCTATCTTGAAAATATCCATCACAAAAAAAAAGAAGGGCTGGCGGAATGGCCCAAGTGGTAGACCACCTGCTTAGCAAGCATGAGGCCCTGAGTTCAAATACCGCCAAAAAAAAAAAAAAAAAAAGAGAAGAAAAGAAAAATACAGTTTAGAAAAGGAAGGGCAAAGAATATAAACAAGCAATGAACAGAAGAGAAACTTCAATTTTTTTTCTCAATTCTGGAGTTTGAATTCAGGGCCTCACACTTGCTAGGCAGGCCCTCTACCACTTGAGTCACACCACAAACCCAAGAAACTTTAAATTTCTAATAAACATTTAAAAATAATTTTAACTTGTGAGAGGAAAAAAAAAAGTTGTTTTTTTTTTTATTGTTTTTTTTTCCCAGAACTAAGGTTTGGACTCAGGGCTTCATGCTTGCTAGGCAGATATTTTGTGGCTTGAGCCACCTTTCCAGCCCAAGATGCCTTTAGTTTAAACCTCTCAGATTGGCACTAATAAAGCCACTAATAAACAGTGCTAATAAAGATACAGGGAAAAGGCTGGGTGCCAGTGACTCACATCTGTAATCGTGGCTGCTTGGGAGGCTGAGATGAGGAGGATCACGGTGTAAGGTCAGCCTGGGCAAACAGTTTTCGAGATCCTCTTCTCCAAAATGGCCGGGAGTTGTGGCTTAAGCAGTAGAAAACTTTGTTTGCAAGCAGAAAGCCCTGAGTTTAAATCCTAGTCCTGCCCCACCAAAAAAATACAGGGAAAGGATTGTCCTGCATTGCTGGGTGAGGTTATAAATTGCCACCAGTTTTTGGAAAAGTAATCTAGCAATGCCTATTAAAACTTAAAATATCTAGTCAGGCTTGCAGTACATTCCTTTAATCTCAGCAGTAGAGAAGCTGAGGTAGGAAGATGGCAAGTTTGAAGCCAGCCTGTGCTACACAGTGAGACCTTATCTCTAAAAAACAAAATAAAAAAAAAATTAAAATATCTGTAACTTTAAAATATCTGTAACTATGCTCCAGCCATCCAACTGTTAGGAATATATACTATAAAAAGAAAAGTACCATTTTGTAGGAGTATTGGGTATTGACACAAGGATTGACTGTGGTATTTGTGGAATTATTTGTGATAGGTAAAACTGGACTCAAGCTGAATACCCATCCACAGGAAAATACCAGTCATGATTCAGCTGTAAAATGGAATGTTGTGTAGTTATTCAAACAATGAGCTGTGTCTGTTCACTACTGGAATATTCATGAAATGTCATTCATTGAGAAAAGCAAGTTACAAATACTTACATATTAAGGTGTATAATGTATATTTATATATTCAGGTATATACAGTATGAAGACATTTTTGTAATAACAGCAACAGGACAACCCTATTATTGTTATGAGCATTAAGAAGAAACACAAGGAAAAGCCTTTTCCTTAGAGGTTTCTCAGAACGAGGCAGGGGAGTTCTCAGAGCTGAGGGTTCTTTTTAATTTTTTTTGGTACTGGTGTTTGAACTCAGGGCCTCACGCTTGCTAACAGGCGCTCTAACCACTTGAGCCACTTTACTACCTTCTTTTGTGATGGGTTTTTTTGAGATAGCTGTTTGCCCAGGCTGGCTTCAAACCAGGATCCTCCTGATCTCAGCCTCCTGGGTAGCCAGGTTATAGGAATGAGGTATGCATGCCCAGCTTGTGCTGGGTATTTTCGAGATAGGGTCTAGAGAACTATTTTTCTGGGCTGGCCTGAGCTACCAGTGCTTGGTTCAGCTGAGAGTTCTTAAGTAGGACTCTATATGTTTTAGAGTTCACTTGGGATTGTATTCAGAATTTTTTATGTAAATGTAGACTTCAGAGAAGAAAGACTGCCTTTTATCAGATTATTATTATTATTTTGTGGTACTGGGGCTTGAACTCAGAGCCTTCACCTTGAGCTGCTCCACCAGCCCTATTTTTGTGAAGGGTTTTTCGAGATAGGGTCTCATGAATTATTTGCCCAGGCTGGCTTTGAACGGTGAGTCTTCTGATCTCTGCCTCCTGAGTAGCCAGGATTACAGGTGTGAGCCACCAGTGCCCAGCCTTTTGTCAGATTATTAAAAGAGGTCTCTGATCCAAAAAAGTCTGCCCTTCTCTAGAGTGATGTTGTGGCTCTCATCCCCACAGCATTGATCTGGGCAAGGCAAACGAACCCAACCATGTGGAGCTGGGGCGCAAGGATGATGCCAAGGTCCACAAGATGTTCCTGGACCACACTGGTAAGTGGTGGTAGAGAACTGAGGGGCCTGTGAGTGGATGGGATGGGGGAGGGAGCTAGGGGAGGCTGAGGGTAGGAATAGCAGCATCCATCCAGGATGCTGTGTTCTGCCCATTGCAGGCTCTCACCTGCTGATTGCTCTGAGCAGCACTGAGGTCCTCTATGTGAATCGTAATGGACAGAAGGTACGGCCACTGGCACGCTGGAAAGGGCAGCTGGTGGAGAGCGTGGGTTGGAACAAGGCACTGGGCACTGAGAACAGCACAGGCCCCATCTTGGTGGGCACCACCCAAGGCCAGATCTTCGAAGCAGAGCTCTCAGCCAGTGAAGGTGGGCTCTTTGGCCCTGCCCCGGATCTCTACTTCCGTCCACTGTACGTGCTAAATGAAGAAGGCGGTCCAGCACCTGTGTGCGCCCTGGAGGCTGAGCGGGGTCCTGATGGGCGCAGCTTTGTCATTGCCACCACTAGGCAGCGCCTCTTCCAGTTCATAGGTCGAGGAGCAGAGGGGGCCGAGGCACAGGGCTTTTTGGGGCTCTTTGCTGCCTACACAGACCACCCACCCCCATTCCGTGAGTTTCCTAGCAACCTAGGCTACAGCGAATTGGCTTTCTATACTCCCAAGTTGCGCTCTGCGCCTGCAGCCTTTGCCTGGATGATGGGGGATGGCGTGTTATATGGCTCACTGGACTGCGGGCGTCCTGACTCTTTGCTGAGTGAGGAGCGAGTCTGGGAGTACCCAGAGGGGGTAGGCCCTGGGGCCAGCCCGCCCCTAGCCATCGTCTTGACCCAGTTTCACTTCCTGCTGCTGCTGGCAGACCGGGTGGAGGCAGTGTGCACACTGACCGGGCAGGTGGTGCTGCGGGATCACTTCCTAGAGAAGTTTGGGCCCCTGAAGCACATGGTGAAGGACTCCTCCACGGGTCAGCTGTGGGCCTACACCGAGCGTGCAGTCTTCCGTTACCATGTGCAGCGCGAGTCCCGGGATGTCTGGCGCACCTACCTGGACATGAACCGCTTTGACCTGGCCAAGGAGTATTGTCGAGATCGGCCTGACTGCCTGGACACGGTCCTGGCCCGGGAGGCTGATTTCTGTTTCCGCCAGCGTCGCTACCTGGAGAGTGCTCGCTGCTATGCCCTGACCCACAGTTACTTTGAGGAGATCGCCCTCAAGTTCTTGGAGGCCCGACAGGAGGAGGCTCTCGTTGAGTTCCTGCAGCGAAAACTGGCCAGTTTGAAGCCAGCTGAGCGTACCCAGGCCACACTGCTGACCACCTGGCTGACAGAGCTCTACCTGAGTCAGCTCGGAGCACTGCAGGGTGACCCAGAGGCCTGGAACCTGTACCGGGACACGCGGGAGCGCTTCCGTACATTCCTTAGCAGCCCTCGGCACAAGGAGTGGCTCTTTGCCAGCCGGGCCTCTATCCATGAGCTGCTGGCCAGTCATGGGGACACAGAGCACATGGTGTACTTTGCAGTGATCATGCAGGACTATGAGCGGGTAGTGGCATACCACTGCCAGCACGAGGCCTATGAGGAGGCTCTGGCTGTACTTGCCCGCCACCGTGATCCCCAACTCTTCTACAAGTTCTCACCCGTCCTCATCCGCCATATCCCCCGCCAGCTGGTTGATGCCTGGATGGAGCTGGGCAGCCGGCTGGATGCACGGCAGCTCATCCCTGCCCTGGTGAACTATAGCCAGGGTGGCGAGGCCCAGCAGGTGAGCCAGGCCATCCGCTACATGGAGTTCTGTGTGAACGTGCTCGGGGAAACTGAACAAGCCATTCACAACTACCTGCTGTCATTGTATGCCCGTGGCCAACCAGACTCACTGCTGGCCTACCTGGAGCAGGCTGGGGCCAGCCCGCATCGTGTGCATTATGACCTCAAGTATGCACTACGACTCTGCGCTGAGCATGGCCACCACCGTGCTTGTGTCCATGTCTACAAGGTGCTGGAGCTGTATGAGGAGGCTGTGGACCTGGCCCTTCAGGTAAGTCTTGACCCCAGCCAAGGCAGGGACCCAGAGAGCAGTAGCTTCAGAAGCCAAAGGGTTGGGTGGAGCCAGCTACCAGGTGCTTAGAGAGGTGCTGTTGTGGAGGTCAAGAGCACGAACTTAGAAGTCAGGGTTGAATTCTTTCTTTGTCACTTATTCATTTACTTTAATTTTTTTTTTATTTATTATTTATTTATTTATTTATTTATGGAACTGGGGTTTGAACTCAGGGCTTTGCACTTACAAAGTGGTACTCTACTGCTTGAGTCAAACCTCCAGTCCATTTTGTTCTTGTTATTTTGGAGATGGGGTTTCATGAACTATTTGTCCCAGCTGGCCTTGAACTGCACTCCTCCTGATCTCAGCCTTCTAAGTAGCTAGGATTATAGGCATGAGCCACTGGTGCCTGGCTTTTCTGCTACTTTATTAAGATGTGGCTCTTAGGCTAGTTTCTTTTCCTTTTTTTTTTTAATTAGGATATATTAATTGTATGGGGGAGGCTCATTGTGACAATACCAAGTAGGCTTATATTGTATATTGGTTAGATCTCCCCCACCGTCTCTCCTGCTTGGTCTTCTCCCTGTGCCACTTAAAGCAATTACAAGAGGTTTCTTTGTTCTGTTTCATATAAGTAAATGAAGTCCATCAACCTTAATCTCTCCTTCATTCACCCTCCCACAAGTAACCCCCCCCACACACACTGGAAAATATTACAATCCTTTCATTATTAATATTTAAGTTGATGTTCACAAGGGTTTCTCAGTACATCTCCACTGTGAGTCTACTTTACTTTGGTCTATACAACTCCTTCCATTGCTCTTCTTTACCCTTTTACCTCCTACCTCCCATTTGGTCTAGTTGATCCTCTGTGCCTCTGATAATTCAGCCACAAAATGAAGTAATATTAGAGTACTTTTACCTCACAGCTGGTTAGTACTATATAAGAAAAGCATTCAGAACAGTGCCTGGCACATGTGTGTTAAAAGGGTGAGGTGCTGAGTTAGATTTCTCAAATCATGATTGGTAACCTGGGCCTTGTTATCATGGAAAGTGCTATTTAACCTGCAAATTCCTCAGCCTAATCCCAGGTTGTACTGAATTAGAATGCTGGGGCTGGGGGTGGTAGAATGCCATCCCAGCAAGTGCAATGTCCTGTGCTCAAACTCTAGTACAGCCAAAAAAGAATGTCAAAGGAGTGCTCAAAATTCTATATTTTGGTGGAGTGGCTCAAATGGTAGAATGCCTGCCTAGCAAACATGAGGTCCTGAGTTCAACCCCCAAAAAGAAGTTTAAAAATCTGTATTTTGAATATGTGCTCCAGGTATTTTTAAATTCACTAAAATTGGAGCCCTATTACCATAAGTTTTTCCATAGTTGTGACAGGGATACACTGTCCCTGCTACAGATTCCTAGCCTGGCCCCCTTGCTGCCTGGAGTGCTAGGAATACTGTCTGTAGTCTCTCTGCAGGCCTGTGTTCTCCCTGGACATCAGTCTGTATCCTGGATGGATTGGGGACTGGGCCCTTAATACCCGTGGTTTCTTCACAGGTAGATGTAGACCTGGCCAAGCAGTGTGCAGACTTACCTGAGGAGGATGAGGAGCTGCGCAAGAAGCTGTGGCTGAAGATCGCTCGGCACGTGGTACAGGAGGAGGAAGATGTGCAGACGGCTATGGCCTGCCTGGCCAGCTGCCCCCTGCTCAAGATTGAGGATGTGCTGCCCTTTTTTCCTGATTTTGTCACTATTGACCACTTTAAGGAGGCGATCTGCAGCTCACTTAAGGCCTACAATCACCACATCCAGGAGCTGCAACGAGAAATGGAAGAGGCCACTGCCAGTGCCCAGCGCATCCGTCGAGACCTGCAGGAACTGCGTGGCCGCTATGGCACAGTGGAGCCCCAGGACAAATGTGCCAGCTGCGACTTCCCTCTGCTCAACCGCCCCTTTTACCTGTTCCTCTGTGGCCACATGTTCCATGCTGACTGCCTGCTGCAGGCCGTGCGGCCTGGCCTGCCTGCCTACAAGCAGGCCCGGCTGGAGGAACTGCAGCGAAAGCTTGGGGCTGCACCACCCCCAGCCAAGGGCTCTACTCGGGCCAAAGAGGCTGAGGCTGGGGCTGCTGCTGGGGGGCCCAGCCGGGAGCAGCTCAAGGCTGACCTAGATGAACTGGTGGCTGCCGAGTGCGTGTACTGTGGGGAGCTGATGATCCGCTCTATTGACCGGCCCTTCATTGACCCCCAGCGCTACGAGGAGGAGCACCTCAGCTGGCTGTAGGAGGGTGCCCCCTGGCGAATGGGCAGGCAGGGGGAGCCACTACTCGGCCCTCTTGGCAAGACCACACTCTGGTCTGTGCCCAGTCATTTTGCAGTTGCTAGGCAGTGACTGTGTGGGGCAGTGGTCACCCTGAAGTGTCAGGTGAGAGCACATTTGGCCTGCTTCTTGCTGTGCTTCAGACCTGCCTTAGAGCTAATCTCACTGTAGGCCATTAGCCTGGAGAAGTTCAGAACCTGACTGGTTCTGGCCCCTTCATCTAATAGCTTTGTCCTTGTCACTCCCCACCCTGTTCACCTGGACTGAGAGCACCTTCTTCCTTCACTCTGTGGCCTCTGGACTTCAGCTCTTGTCCCTCAGGGGGAGCTCCCTCTTCTGTCTGCCCCTAAGTGTCCCACAGTGGAAAGGCAGCCCTCCAAGCCCTGGCCCTAGGGGAAGTGGTGCTAATTAATGGTGAGCCTGGTCTTGTGCATACTCTGGAGCTCCAGTTTGTGAGTGCCCTGGGGCTGAGGGCTTCATGGAGACAGTGGAAGATGGTGACAGGCGGAGAGCATTAAACTGTCTTCACTGCAGTGGTGGCTCTGGAGTTGATGGTTTTGTGTTGATGCTGGGCTAGGTGAGGTACGAGTGATCCCCAAGAGGGGCTGGGTTGCCACAGGGAGGCTTGCAAGGCCCTGCAGGCCTTCATGCCTTGGCACACAGCTTGAAGATGAGACAGAACAGTTTCGCCAGATTCTGCTTGCTTCCTTGTCTTCACTCTATCCTCTGACTCCAGGCCATCCCCATCCTAAGTCCTTGAGTTTGGGCTGTTGTCCTCTCTGGCCGACAGGTGGTGCTGCTGCCCAAAGATTCCTTCCAGCCCTGGCAACATTAAGCACTGATTTCTCAACTCTCATTAGTGCTTCCTCAGCTATTCCCTCCCTGGTTGTCCCAAGAATTTTCTGGAAGTCTCCCTGCTTAACCATGATTCTAAGCCCTTTGTTCTTTCCTTCAGTGGCCCTTAGGCATGCTAGATTTTGCTTGCTCCTCTGTCAGCTTGGATCCCAGCCTTGCCGTCTTCTGCCCGGCTTTGCCACTATCCGTGACATTTGGCACATTCATTTGCTCCTGTGACCTGCCCTTCTCCCCAGATTACACTTCCTTACTTGGGGCTGGAGGCTCAGTCCTGTCCTGGGGAGTCCTGGAGTTGGGCCTTCCGGTGACAGCAGTTCAGCACCCTTTGCCCCATGGATAAGTGTTCATAGTGCATTGCCTAGGTTGTTGGGTGTGATCTATCAGCTGGCCCAGACTGGAACAACACAACAGTATTCCTGTAATTGGGCTGGGGTCAAGCTCACCTGGCTGGTAAATGTCTGTCTGCCCTCCAGCCTAATCCTCTCCCAGGAACTTTATCTCCTGCAGTCCTGGTTGGACTGACCCTACTGAATTCTCTAGCTTCTTGGACAACAGGACCTCTTTTATGACCTCTGCATCTCATGGGGGTGGGAGGGGTGTAGAGGGCATCCTAATCCAGTCTCTTTGCTGTTCCAGGAAGATTTGGGGGCTCTGCTCCCTTCCTCCCCCAATGTGGCCCAAGGCTCACTCATATCTAGATATAACCAGAGGATCGCTTAGGGGTCCCTGTTCCCCACTGTCAGTATTGTGCATAAAACCTTGGTCTGCCAGTGGGGTGGTCACATGCTTATAACTTAGATAAAACAGCTTGGACCTTCTGCCTTTGCACGTAATGGGTGCCTAATACATGATAGTTAAACAAGTACTGCCCTATTGCTCCCTGTTCCCAGAGGGCTTGGCTAAAGCACCCTGGGTGGGATGCCCCTACCCCTTCTGTCTTCTAAGCCAGCCCATCTGGTCCTAGGCTGCTTCCTCTTTCCTGGGAAAAGGCCCCAGTCTTCCCTGGCAATGACAGAATGGAGTTCCGGTGAGTCAGGGCAACGGGAAGCCACAGCTCTTAGATCCCTGGAAACCAAGCAAGGCCTGGAATGGAGAGCAGAAAGAAGGCCCTCAGGGCCTTGGCCCTAAGCCTGGGAGGACCAGAGAGGAGTGAGGGAGAGCAGCTGCAAGGGCAGGGGCCAAGATGAATGAGCTGCTCCTGGAGGGTCACTGGAAATAGGAGGAGTGGCCACAGGCAGTGACGCTGAGACCCGGGCAGGAGGCCTGTAAACAAGGAAGCCACCTGGGGGAGACGCAGGGCGGCCACTGGTCCAGGGGAGCAGGTGCTTCCTGAGGCCCGCCCTTGAGAGGACCCTGGGGGCCGCCATGCCTAGCAGGCCAGGAGCACTAGGGGGCGCTGTCAGCGGTTGTCCTGACCCCACCTCTCCCCACCTCAGCTTCTGGGGGAGTGGCCACCGGAGGGTGTGCCCACCCGGAGTCCCATGCCCGCAGGCTACCCTCCCTGCTCCTGTCCCCAAGGCAGCCTTGCTGAGGGCACCAGCCCGGTCACAGAGGGTGCAGGGCTCAGCCTTGCCAGCCTGGGTGTGAGCTCATTCCCCACGGGACCACCGATTCTCGGGTTCCTGCCCCTCCCCCAGGGCTCAGGTCGCAGGCCAGATCCTGGCACCAACTTCATTGGTTGGAGGGGGCTCCGAGGCCACCAGGCTCCAGGCTGCCCTTGGCGCTATCCCCCCTGGCGCCAGGGAAACAAAAGGTTAGGGGCCCAGAGGGAGTTATCTGGCCCCACCACCACCGGGTGGGGGGAGGGGGCCGAGAGGGGGCACACCTCTCCACTCCCCCAGCTCTACTGATTCTTCGAGACACTTTCACAGGCGGAAATTCCCAGAGGTCAGAGGAGGGAAACGGTTAATTCCTTTTATTCAATGGGCCCCCCCCTCCGCGCCTCCCCCCAACTTCCTCCCTCCACTTCCCGCCCCCCCCTGTGTGAACAGGAAGCGGAGAGGAAAAGGCTCTGAGCAGAGCAGCTGGGAGCAGGAGGCAGGGAGTGGGCGGTAGGCTTGGTGCCAGCCCTGCCCCTCTTAATGGCTTGCTGGAGAGGCAGACTGTGGCCTGGGAGCGAACCTGCAGCCCTGCTGGCCTGGCAAGTGACAGTCCAACTGGGAAACAACCCAGAGCCCGAGCCTGCTTTCTTCAACGGGCTGCCAGGCGAGAGGCAACTGTCCTGAGGTTGCAAGGCATCCTCTGCTGCCTCAGCTGCCATGGCCACCGCAGCCCCACCCCCACCCCGGGGCTGGGCATCTTGAGGCTGGCAGGCAGCTCTTCAGGCAGCCGCCAGGCCTGGCACTGGCCCCACCACTCAGCCCCTTGGCCCTGGCAGTCCTTTGAAGCTCATGCTGCGCTTCCTGTTTGGGGCGGGTGATGCCAAGGCCCCTCCCCCACCATTGTTCTGTAGAGACCATAGGTCCATCTGTTGTCCCATGGTGGGGCCCCTAGGCAGTGCCACACGGGAGCAGCACCACAAAGGACCCTGCTGGCAGCTTTGCTTGTGCTGGGCGAGGCTGGGCCCTGCAGCAGGTTGAGGGTGAAGAGTGGGCAGAGGCAAGCCTGGAGGGGCAGCGGAATAGAAGAAGAATGCTAGGTAGTTCTGCTGCTTGGGCAGTGGGAGCCCTCACCTTTCTCTCCACCAGGAGTATGGAGATGATGGTATTTAGGGAGCCATCCACAAGGAAAGGAACACCATTCTTATGCCTAGATTCCAAGGGAAAGCTGAGGCAGAGGGGCAAACTTTGGTCTAGGTTGGCCAATAAAACCAGCATAAACCATGTTTCAAGAGAGCCTTATTTTCAGAATGCACCACAATCGGGCGCTTGCTTCTCCCTGAGCAACTTTGCCTTGAAGGAATCCCTGAGCTGAGCAACCAGGAGCCCTACCATGAGGTCATGGAGGTTGAATGGCCCTAGGTTGGTGACTAGCAACTGATGTCCACTGAGAACAAGCCAGGGTAGAAAAAGGAGAAGGGACCGTGGTCTGATCCCCAGGAAGGTGGGTGTTGCTCCTGGTTCCCAGGCTGTTCAGGCCAAAGGTCTGTTTGTGTTTCCCAGGTGCAGAGGTAGGTGCCATATATCCCTGCATCTCACTCCCACCTGCCATGGCCATCTCACAGCTCCAACCTGGGACCTGCTTCTTCTTTCACTTCTCCCCAGGTTTAGAAGCTCAGACATGGTCTACCTCACGTCCCTCACCTGATCCTTTGGTTGCTGTTTCCAGCCCAGGACCTGTACTGCTTCTGGCTCCCACTGGGCCAGAGCTACAGAGGCCTCAGACAGAGACCATAGAGTGCTATAGATCCCTAATTCAAATACAAATTTTCATGAATGTCCAAAACCTGAGGTTGATATGCCGAACATAGCTGGGCCTCCTTCATTTGGCCTATCCTCTCCTCCCACATCCCAGTCTCTGTAGGGTGCCAGGATGCCTAAGAACCCAGTTTGGAAATCAAACCACTGAACTGCCACTCCCATCTCCTGATTTTACAGCTGCTGAATCTAAGAGGAGAAGTTGGTGGCCAACAGGAGGGTCCATCCAGGATCTTCTCCCTTCTCCATGACATTCAGCATCACTTGGCCTGCTGGGGGCCCTTCATGATGCTCGTTTTGCATCTCCAGCCAAAGTGGGTTGAGCTGGGGGACAGGGAGGTGACCTGGAAAGAGCAAGTGCAAGTGTTTGCCCTGCCATTTACCACCAGTCTACCTGATCACAGCCCTGGAAGCTCAGTTCCTTCACAGGCAGAATGAGAATAAATGAAACCGACCTTGAGTGGCTCATGAAGCTTCACCGAGGGCAGCACAGCACATCTGAGAAGTTAGCCCAGAGCTGGACACTGGACCAGTCATCCCTGGCTGCTTGCTTCTCTTCTGCTCTACTGTGTGCCTTGTTCCTCCAGGCCTGGGACCTTGTGAGCCCTGTGGCAACTCTTGCCTCACAAACTCCTCTAATCTCTTCAGGAATTAGAGTAGAATTGGAAGAAAGGCTTACTTGAAGGGCTGTCTGGTTTCTTGCGAAATGTTGACTCCAGGGATCTGGTTGAGAATGAGGGAACCCTCAGGCATGCAGAATGTGGTCACTGAGGTGATATAAGAAATGTTCCCTCAGGGGACAAGGCCCTGGTTTCCTGGAGCAGAAAGGGCACAACTCCAGCTCCAGAGGACCAATGGGACATGCCTGAGGGGGGTTGGCAGACATCACTTTGGCTACTGACCCTCTGCCAGCCTGCCTTCATGGTCCAGCTCAGAGCTTGCACAACAATCTGGCTAACTGGCACTCCCCTGAGAGCTTCAGGAAGTCCCCCTTGGTCCCCCTTGACCTTTGACCTCTTAGGCCTGCTGCAGGCAGAATTCTGGGCAGATGTCTTCTATCTTACCTTCTGTTCCTGGTCATTTCCTAAAGACTGGAATGGAGAGACATCCCAAACCCCACCTTATTGCTCATCCTTTGCCATGCTCTTGGGTATAGACCACTGGGAGCCTCCAATGGGGCGCCCCACACAAGCCAATGAGAATCCTTGACCCCAGCCAACAGGACACTTGGAATGTGGCTCTCTGAAGAGCTCACACTTCACAGCTTGCGCACATACGCACGCACGCGCACCTGAACACGTGCTCCTGACCACAGATTCTCA